CTCCCCGCCCCTCTCTTTCTCACTGCCACTCTATGTTGAGTGCACATGCCCTATAGCAAAATTAAAAAAAAAGAATAATAATAAAATTAAATAATATATTTTTTTTTAAAGAAGAATCCCAGCATGGTGGTAGTTGAAGCCACTTGGGGAGACTATGAGGTCTCAATTAGCTGTGGGGGAACTGACCTAAAGAGATGGAGAAAATCAGTGGCAGTGATGGGGTGAGGGAGGCCCTTCTGCCACAGCTCCTCCTTTGGTCCAGTCTCCGTCACCCTGTCAGGTACAGATGCTCCTCAACTGGTGGTATGTCCTGATAAACCAATCATAAATACCCTAAGCTGAAGATGCATTTAGTACAGGTAACCTACCAAACATCCCAGCTTCCTGGCTAAGCCTGCCCCGCCTTCGATGTGCTCAGAACACCTCCCTCAGCCTGGAGCTGGGCCTAATCATCTAAGGCAAGGCCTGTTTAACAATCACGTGCTGAATAGCTCATGAATGTATTAGGGACTGTACTGCAAGTGAAAAACAGAATAGCTCGCGGCCACTGCCCAGCATTGCAAGAGCATATCCGCCTACGGCCAGCCTGGGAAAAGATCAAAATAGAGATTTCGAAATATAGTTTCTCCTGAATGCATGTTGCTTTGGCTCAATTGTAGAGTCAAATTGTAAGCTGAACTACTCTAAGTCAAAAACTTTCTGTATTGGGACCAGCAGGTGGTGTGGTGGTTAGGGGTACTGGACTCCCACATGGCTGACCGTGCTTCAAGTCCTGGACCTGATGACTTGCTTTCTCATTTTCTCTCTGTCAGTCTGTCTCTCTCTGGCCCAATTAAAATAAATAAATAAATAGAATTAAATAAAATAATTCTTAAAAAAAAAAAAAACCTCTCTGTATTTGACTGTTGAGATGGTGGCCAGGAAGATCCCACTGACTTACGATCATTTCTATATCACCTGTTATGATTGTGCCCCAAAGTCCTAAAAAAAGGTTTATACTTGTTTCATTAAACTTAAGAATATATTTTGATGAAAAGTCCCTTAAAATACAGCTGCCATTTCCCTACCTTCCCTACAACTAGCCAAATTACAGTAAATCTTGGAGTGAGCACGAGGAAGTCAGAACTGGATTTTATTTTATTTTGTAGGGGAGAGGTTTTTGCTATAGGGCGCATGCGCTTGCCAAAAAGACAGAGACAGACAGAGAGATAGAAAGTGAGAAATCACCCCCTAGGGAGAATGGCCACGCCGCAATCCCTTCTCCATTCTCCTCTTGGGATCTTGGGCATGCACGCACATGTGCCCGGCATGAGTTTAAGCCACCAGGTCTGGGACTTGAACCACGGTCAACTACATGGGAGTTCAGCAACATAGCCATTATGCCACCTGCTGGTCCCCAGAACTGGATGTTTTTAGCCACAGTCCACTCTCAGTTGTGAGCTAACAGAAATGTGACCTTTGCAATGATTTACAGGCCTGGATCTGGGTTGGTGGGGACGATTTAGGTTCCTGAGGGTGCTGGATGCCCAGTCCCATCCATGCATGTTCCCAGTGCTAGCACTGGTTGGCTTGGCTGGGAAACTGGGTGAGGTGGGCTCAGAACAGAACTTAAGATGCATGTGGTTCTACAAGGCAGCTGTAAGAAGTTTCTGGGATTTATTAAAAAAAAAAAAAAGTCCACTCAGTATTCTGTAAAAGCACATCTGTGTCTCTGGTATAAATAAAACATATCAACCTGATGTGGGGGTGAGAAAAATGGAGCCCAAAGATTGACAGCAGCCTGGGTCCCTCTGCATCCCTCTGCTGGGTTGTTGCTTCCCAGGGGCAGGCTGAGTTTTAGTGTCTCCCGGGAGTTCAGAAGTGGGAACTGGGCTTCGCCTGCCAGCTTGAGGCTCTCCAAGGATGGAAGCCGTGTTTCCTTTGTCAGGTTGGAAGCTTCAGTGATGCTGGGGAGTCCATTTCCCAGCACTGCGGTCAGCCAGATTCTTGGCAAGGTGGACCCACGAGGTGGGGTGCTGATGTAGGGCGATGAGAAAATCAGGGCCTGCAGGGGGCTGGACCGCAGGAGGGCAGGTGTCTGGACAGAGCCCCTCCTGCCTCAGTCAGGTCCTCAGGGGTCCTTGGCAGCATGTTTAGGGGTTGAGATCAGCAGCTCAGGCCATCCTTCCTGGGTTCAAATCCTGGCGCCTCCCCTCCTCAGCGTTTATGCCCCAGTTTTCCCACCTGCCCAGCGGGGATACTGGCCCCTGCCTCCTAGGCTTGCCATGCCTTAGCCCACACAGAGCACAGAGGAAGCCTGAGTGAACTGGTTAGTAAGAAGCGGTGGCTGTTTAACCACTGCACAAGGAGAGAAAGCAGAAGGTCTTTTTTTCCTGGGGAGGGCAGGGGTCACCGCTCTTTGCCCTCACTTCCTAATAACCTTTGGCCACCACCTTGAGCTTGGTTTGTGCGGTGCACCCGCCCCTGACAGTCTCCTTTGTTTCAGGTGGGACCGTCCGCC